TAGCATGGTTCTTCCAACTTTGTCCTTTTTTTCACAAGATTTCTGAGGCTCTTAAGATTCTTTTTGGATTCTGTATAAATATTTGGAATATTTGTTTGAGTTATGCATTATTAGCTGCTTTTAATCTTTTTTATCTTATTTGAGTTTGCTATTCCTTCAGCTTTCTTTGAGTTTACTGTTTGGTTCTTTTATTTTTTTAATTTTTTTTTAGTTACACTTAGCTCATCAATTTTCAGTCTTCTTTCCTGATGTAAGTATTGTAAGCTATAAATTTCCCTAAAGGCATCATTTTAGTTGTATCCCAGAGGTTTTGATATGTGGTATCTTCATTATCATTTTGCTCTAAATTTAAAATTTTTATTATTATTTCTTCTTTGAGTCATGAGTTTTAGAAAGATGTGTTTCTTCTGATTGTGGAATATTCTTAGCCATTCTCCATTTGAATGGCACCACTCCCACCATTTTCTGTAACCTTTCCTTTCTTAACTCCTACAGGTATCTCCCCTGTATTTTTATTTATTTTAATGTTAAATATATCTATTTTATAGCTTTTTTTGAGTAATTCATTCTCTCCAGCATTTATGATGTCAATTCTCTTTTTTGGTTATCTGCTACTTTCTGTCCTGTGAGCCATATCTTATGCCATTTTTATTATTTTACTGTGATTTCATCTTTAATGGAGTATTTTCCCCCTGTGGGTATCTGGTTTGTCCATGGCCTATGACATAGCCATAGCCATAGACCTATGATTCATCTCCAGCTATGACTTTCTTGAGGAAATCTGGTTCATTGGTAGCAGGTCGAATCAAGTCATTAGCAACTGCATCATTATGTTCCTTCTGCTCTGGTAGCAGAAGCTGCAGAACAAATTTTGCCATGACACATTTCATGCCAAGATTTTGTGCCAAAATTTTTGGACATTGTAGTTTTTGGAATCCCCAGATCAGCTTCTAGTTATCTCACTGTCAGTTGCCAATCTTTGTTGGTTGCAGCCCATTCATGTTCAACATTCTCAGGTGTTCTGTTTGTTGTAGGACTTCCAGAACATGGATCACTTTCAACAGATTTTTGACCACCTTTGAAGCATTTGTGTCACACTTTTATTTGTGTTGCACTCGTTGCATCATCCCCAAAAGCCTTCTGAATCATCCAAATAGTTTCCATGGAGGAATGTTCAAGCTTAATGAAAAATTCGGTGTGCAGATTTATTGTTCTTGTCACCCATTTTGGATGCAATGGCCACATAGTACACATGCCCACTCAACAGTGTCTACCATTGTCACTGACTAGTATAGTGAAGTTGTCATTGTTTACGCACGCACATTCCAGTTCACTCTCCTTGGCTACCAGGTTCCATTGATGTCATGCAAACCATTCTCATTATATTAACAATGGCTGGACTTTTTCTGGACAGACCTTATATATGATAAGAGCAAACCTACATTACTTAGACCCTGAAACTTCCTAATGCTTCCATTCCCTGTGGAACATTCTTAGCCCTTATCTTTTTGAATAATGCCTTTTCCATATCCTAATCACACAAACCATACATTTGGAGGTTCTTTTTAGGCTCTAATTGAAAACCATTTGGTTTCTATTTGGAGGAATTTCCATTCTAGTTCTGTGGATTACTGTGGCTGTGGAGCCAGTCTTGCAGCTTGGAATGGTCTTTTGGCCATGCTGACTGAGGGAACCTGTGTGCATAGATATCTGTGAACCTGCAATAAGAATGCTAGTTTTTTTAAACATCACTTTTTAAGTCTTGATAAATGACCATCTTATGTCATCTCACCACAATCCTGGAAGTGGGTAGTGCTGATATCAACATCCACATTTTACATATTAGTAAACTGAAGGTTATATAGGTAAAATAACATCCCAAAGTCCATGGTTAAGTTAGAGGTAGAGCTGAGTTTATATTTTAGGCATCTCACCTCTGAGTATGGTGATTTTTCTCTCCACTCCATTCTTGCTGTGCATGTTTTTGCAGGCTTAAATGGAGATACCTAAATCTACACCCAGCTTTCTGTCGACTTTACCATAAACACACTGGGAAGATTCTCTGCTCCTCACTCCCACCCCATGGTGGTGTACCACACACTAGAGATTTAATATTCCTTCCTCCCCTTTCTCTTGCGGTCCCTGTATCTAAAGACATCCTCTACTGCTGCTAACACATCTCAGATAAAGGCAAATGAATTGTTGACCCAGATCACAGAATTTATAGCAAAATTTTAATAGCATTTCTGGGTAGAAACAATAGCCAACACCATCTTTCTTGGCATTACTTTTTATTGAATACAGACTTACAATCTTTAAGTAATTTGAATATAGTGTTTTAATATATAGTTCTTTAGTCATATATATTTCTTTAAAGCACTAAACTATAACTCAGAATGAATGGCTATAAATGCTCATGTACATATCACCATGAATCTAAAACTATTTTATAAAAATAGAACTCAAATAACTATATATTTTGGCAACATAGCAGTATTGTAAGGTGGCCACATACATTTTTATTATGCAGCACTATCCCAAAATGACTGTCTCAAGTTTCATTTTCCATCTCTTTGAGGATAGTCTGCTTTACTAGGGTCCCCACAGAGATGCCCATGGCCATGGCTCAGTGTCGCTTTTGCATAAAGATTCTGTGCAGCCACCTGTGCATGGAGGGGGAAGACCAGCTTCCAGCCCCTTCCTCTGAGAGAGGAGGTATCCCTCCTGCCAGATGTCACCATCAAACTTCTAGAAGCCCTCACAATGCATGGTTAATATCTGAACATACAGAGTCAGTTAGTTTCCTTTCCCTATACTCATAAAATGGCAGATGAGAGTTTGGTTCTGTCAAATCGGTATAAAATATTTGAAATAAAGACCACTCACATGGTGTCCACTGGGGAAACATCCTGACAGTGGGCGCCAATGCCCACCTGTTTGTGCAAGGCCTTTACACATGTGAGACAATCCTCATAGTCTTACAAGGTTGGGACATTCTTGTCCCTATTTGATGAATCTCTTGGCCAAAGTCAGCAGGGCTCCCTGACCCCAAATTCAGATCTTTCTACCTGCCCAGAAATCCCTGGAGGGAAACCAGAAAAGAACAGATCTGCACTATGGTCATTGGATGAGGGCAGACAAGTGGCTTTGGGTCAACTTATATCAGGTGGACAGGAATTCCCAATCATTCTCAAGATTCTTGGGCTGCCACTTCCCAAGTAGTACAAGAAGATGGATGTCTGAGAGACAGAGCAAGGCCCTACAGACCAATGACTTTGATGGGCAGTGCTGGAATCTCCAGGATTATTCAATAGAAGTCCACAATCTAAAATAGGGTCTTGAGGAATTGACTGCTTGGGAGTGCATGTATTTTTGAAGAGCTAAGCAAAAGTCAAAATGCCTGCTCCCCTCTCTACCCTGCCTGCTTCAAAACAGGTCAAAGTGCAGACAACATACACAGTAACCCAAGGAAGGGACAGGTGCAGGGTCCCTGGGCCAGAGTGGAGTGTTCAGGATGCCACAGAGCACAGTAGGATGGGTGGTGGTGGGGTGAGAGTGGGAATGACTTTTTTAGGACTCCCCCACTCCCACCCAGGAACCTACAGTGATGAGAGCTGAACTCTGCAGTTTCTCTGGTCAGAGACAGGCAGCCTCAGCTATGTGCCATTTGATTTTTCTGGCTGCTTTCCTACTCCTTTTTCCTTTTAGATTTTCTGTAAAAACATGTCCAAGTGGGAAGATCTCCTCTACAATCACAGCCTCTCAGGACAATTCCACTCTGGTTTTGTAGACTATCTGCCCTCCAATCAGGGTTGGCTTTGGATGTGGCTGTACCCCCATCTGGCCAACTACCCCTCAGCCTCTAAGGCCATAGGAGAGTCCTGCTCTGGGCTCCTCCATGTAGGTTTAAGTCCTAATCCCTGGACAACATCCCTCACATAAGGAAACCCACCCATCTGTCCAAGGATGTCCTACTTGGGCCACTGAGATCATTTCCTGAAATTATTGTCAGAACAGTTTTTTTAAAGCATCTCTTAAAGATAAATAAAACAAATCAACAACAACAGAAAACTCTCAGTGCAACCCTCTCTCCTCTCTTCTAAAAGGCAAGTCACCAATGGGGCACTTTTTGTGTGAAAGGGAGTAAGAAAGCAGCCAGAAAAACAGAAGTGGCAGGTTCTTTGGGGAAGTGTACTGGTCCTCCCTCCATCTCCACCGCTTTCCCTGGGCTACACTAGTTTATTCAACAAGGATTGTCCCTGAGGCCCCTGGGGAAGCAGGGAGCAGCAAGTACTCCAGAGCAGTGACAGACGAGTTTTTTTTCCTTTTCAGTATAGCCAGATCAGATTTTATGAGTTCAGTTGAAAGCTGTCCCTGGGAGGCAAAAGGTGAAATGCATTTGTGGGTCCAGGTCACTATATTTTAAATTAACTTGGGTGCTGTGTGTGTAGGGCAGTAAGAGCTTACAGAACTGTATGGCTCAGCACAGGTCACTCTGAGTGATTAGACTGTTCGAACCCAAAAACAAATCCTCCTACTCCTCCCCAAAAGAAAAGGGGTAATGACCTGGAGTTAGCCTCTTTCCTCATGATTCATTAGGTACATTGCACTCAATAAGGTAATTCATTCTTCTGTTGGGCAAAAATGTGACCTAGACATGCTAGGTCCTTTTGGGGAAGCAAATACCAACATTAAGCTTCTGAGGTGGTGAAGGGAAGTCAGTGTGCATTTCCCCAGTTCACCCTAGCCACTTCTGAACCAGGCTAATCAGATTTCCTTATCACCCATTTTATCAGTGCACAGGCCAGAGGGCAGCTCTACAACCAATGACAATTCCATGCCTAATGAGAAACAATTTCTCATCACTCAATGTGATGCCCCACTGTGGTCTGTGCGTTTGGCCCTGAAGAAAGCTAGGGTGAGGGTTGAAAGCAGGGGTTCAGCAGGGTCTGGTAGCTGTAGAATGCTGGGTTTGGGGAAGTGATATGCAGTGGTAGGAGTCAAGGTTGGTGGCACTGGCTGGGCCTTGTTGCTTTTCCTTTTGTCACCAGTGGCTTGCCTGTAGCAGACTGGGGCAGACTGCAGAGGTGTTTCATTTCAGTCAGGCTTTCTTCCACAGCTTTTGCAAACTTGGGAGAAGAGGTTTCTTTGCAGCTGTGGAAGCTTGAGATGCAGAAAAGGATGCTTTCAGCCTGAGGGTTGTAGCAGGCACCATACCCTTCGGGCATGACTGGCCCATAACAGCAAAACATCTCCATGGCTGTGGGCACCTGCAGGAGAGGACAGGTCAGGAGCTGATTGTTCTGAAATGCAATGTGTGAGCCTGCCATAATAAAATATGTTCTAACAACCCAGGGGTCTCAATGGAGTATTTGCTTCTCTGACTATTTTCCGCTTGGACATTTGACTGAATTAACCAAATCAACTGACTGCTTCAGCATAGATGGCCACACCAGAGTCATAATGACAAACCCATCTAACTGCATGATATGAGGAGAAGAGGGCCATAAGCCATTCCCTGGTGTGAAATCTGCTCTTCTTGTGGAGTTAGAAGCTCCAAAATTCAATTGCTGCTGGGTCTCAGGTGAGTTTCTCCTTCACCTGGGGGCCATTTGAGGCACTGAGGCAATCAGAGTAATTTACTAAATGGCACCCTGGTGACATCCAATGGTTCAATGTCTTTCCAAAAGGAGTAATTTATGAACTGGAGGAAATCTAGCCTGTCTCCTCTGTCAATTTCCCCCATATCCTTAATTACTGTCAGCATCGCCTATCTGGTCTGATGTTTTTTCCCCACAGTTTGGTCATGCACAATTACTCAACACTGGGTATTTCAAAGTTTGCCATCAACTGGAGTTTTAGTTCTGTATCTAATATGTTTTGAATTCAGAGCACCGATATTTTGTAATCCAGATCACAAACCCAGAAAATTGTTTCTGAAAGCATTTAAGTCATAAATGTTCATTTCCCATTGAAACAAAAAAGCCCCAAACCACTGCACTCCAATTAATTATATTAGCTGGTCTTAGGGAGAAAATAGAACACATTTTGGATCAGGTGCAGGGTAGTTTGTTTTAAACCCATAGGTTTCTGATGCTGTGTACTCAGGCCTTCAGAAATGGCACTGGTTGTTTTAATGGGGCAGAACAAACCATTAGTCTTGCTAATAGAATCACCTCATTGTCAGATAAATTTGCCATGCAACAGCCAAAGGCCATAAAGCCATTCCAAAGCACTTTTTGCCCATGGATGGTTTCCTGAAGAATTTATGTTGTGTTCTGCCCCCATTTAGTCACGTTTGTGAGCTCACTGCAGTAATAAGAAAATCAAATTACTGAGAGGACTTTTATCCTCAAACATGAGTTCCTTTTAATGACTTCCTTTTATTGCCCATGTCCAGCCTTTCACAGATGAGGTGGAGTTTAGGAAACTGACATATCGGGGCGGGGAGGGAGTGATGCTTTCTTTCCTAAACTTCTGCCTTTCTCTAATGGATTTCATTCTGTCTTTGTGACAGTGGTCCTCCAACAGAACAAGCCTGTGGTGCTGGTTAGGAGATGCTAGGCTGTCAACCAATCACCTACTATTGGTCACTGGCCCCTTATAATGACTGTGGCCTGTTTGGAGGATCCTGTCATACCAGGCACTGGGCTGGGCTTTCTACCTACATCATTACATATAGTTGAGTCAGGACTTCATTCTAGGCCTGTCAGATTTCAGAGGTAACACTGAAAGAGAGTAAGTATAATGGTTAGGGCACCAGGATAGGTGCCTTCCTGTTCTGTCCATCTCTACTAAGGTCATGTCTGTGATTACTCCCACTTAGAAGATGAAAACCATGCTCTGACCAGTTAGGTAATTTTTCAGGTTACAAAGCTCATGAGATGTAGATACAGGACTTTCTGAAATCCAACCAGTGGGCTATATTCACTGAGCTCTACAGAAAGCCCACTGGTTACACTAAGTGGCTTCTTGGGTGATGGCCACAGTAAGACTACATGTACCTGGCTGGTGGAGAGGGCAAATTGATTGCTCATCAAGTATGTTTCATCCATGAATATCTCAGGTAGCTCCTTGCACATTTCCCGGGCCAGCTCCCGCAGTCCCAGCAGGTGGTTGTCAATAGCCATCCCTGTTATGGCCTAGGCAGTAAGGAACAAAGAATAGTAAATGAGATGTCGGTTCCTGTTACCTCCTGCCTTCCTCTCCAGTTTACAGTACTAATGGAAACTCTAGTGGCCATAGTTACTCAGTTCTTGCTGCAGACAGTATGCATGGGAGGGAGACCATAACTGACCATTTTAACATGTGGCTCTGTTCCTTAGGCCCTTGTGCATTTGTTATGTACACAGGATGAGTCCAGATTCAGCTGTGTTCTAACCTGAGTCCCTTTCATGGTTACTACTGATATGTATACCATGTATGACCACTTAGTGCTGTAAGTGAAAGGAGCAGAGTTGCTGGGCCATCCTCAGTACCTTCTCAGATAGTGAAGGAGTCTGGGGAGAGGATAAGTTTTGGGCCCAGAGACTGCCAAGCCCTACAAATATGGTGAGGGGTGCCCTAGGCTGTCACTGGGCAGACTCTCACCATAACCAACAATTGATCCTCCTGCCAGAGCCCTAGGAATGAGGATAGAGGGTGTTAAATCTGTTCCTGTATCTTGGCTGCTATTTCATGGGCTCAGAATCAATTCAATTCAACTGCATTCAAAGTCTAAGAAATCATTTTGAGACAGAAAGTAGACATCTTAGCAGAGGCCCAGCTGATACTTTCAAGGGAAAAGCTCTTTAAATGGAGAAAGGTTTTTTTTCCTTTTTATCACAAGCTATCATCAAAGGATAAGATAATAGCAATGGGGGCTCCAGAATCTCATTGTAGGAGGCACTCAGTATGGTGGTGTGGCTGAAAGTGGGACAGTGGGTCAGGACACATATTCTACATCTTTCCCACTTTAGGCTGCATGTATAGGACACATGCTGGTTTTGCTTGGATTACATGTTTGTTTGGGACAACTTTTGGGGTCTGATGCAGGCATGGGGTCCACCTCTGGCCTGTAGCGATAACCTCTGGGTCACCCTCAGAGCAGTTGTAACTGTTACAGGGTACCCCCCTGCCCCCCGCAGCTATTAAAGCCTCCCATCACAGTGAACTTCGCTCAGATTTACAAAGCACATTTGGAGATTTTGACAGCTATTGTCTTTTAGTTGGGAATGAATGAATAAAGATGGCTCAGAGGCCCTAGTCTCTCCAAATTCACCTAATTATAGGCTGAAAAGACATGTTATACAACCTCAGCTGACTTTATTATTATTATTTTTCTCTCTCAGAAGCACTACTTTATTTTTTATTGATTATGCCATTACAGTTGTTCTATTCTCCCCTTCATTCCCCTCCACCCTGCACTCCCCCAACCCCTACCATTCCCCCCTTTAGTTTATGACCATGTGTCTCAAGTTCTTTGGATTCTATATTTCCCATACTATTCTCGCCCTCCCCTATCTATTTCCTACCTACCATCTATGCTACTTATTTTCTGTACCTTCTCCCCTCTTCTCCTCCTACTCCCCTGTTGCTAACCCTCCATGAGATCTTCATTTCTATGGTTCTGCTCCTGATCTAGCTGTCCTTTTAGCTTGCTTTTGTTTTCGATGTGGTTGTTAATAACTGTGAGTTTGCTGTCCTTTCACTGTTCATCTTTTTTATCTTCTTTTTCTGAGGTAAGTCCCTTTAACATTTTATATAATAAGGGCTTGGTGATGATGAACTCCTTGAATTTGATCTTATTCAGAAGGGTGAAAGGAACAGCCACCAGTGGAAAACTTATTTGAACAAATCATAAAGGAGAATTTCCCCAATCTGGCAAAGGAAATAGACTTCCAGGAAATCCAGGAAGCTCAGAGAGTCCCAAAGAAGTTGGACCCAAGAAGAAACACACCAAGGCACATCATTACATTAGCCAAGATTAAAATGAAAGAATCCTAGAAGCAGCAAGAGCTAAGGGGACAGTCACCTACAAAGGAGTTCCCATCAGACTGTCAGCTGATTTCTCAAAAGAGACCTTACAGGCAAGAAGGGGCTAGAAAGAAGTATTCCAAGTCATGAAATCCAAAGACCTACAACCAAGACTACTCTATCCAGCAAAACTTTCATTTAGAGGAAGGAAAGATAAAGTGCTTCTCAGATATTAATATTATTTTTCAATCTTCAACTGAGGACATTTTTAAGAGAAAGAGAAATGTCAGTGTGAGAGGGAAACATTAATTAGTTGCCTCTCTTGGCCTCACAACCTGGGGTTGAACCCGCAACCCTGATATATGCCCTGACTGGGAATCAAACCCACAGCCTTTCAGTGTATGGGACAATGCTCCTACTGATTGAACCACATCAGTGAGGGCAAGCAAGCACAGCTCTCTTTAGCCTTACACTGTTAGGACAAGGGAAGAACTGAGACCATCTATGAAGTAGAGTGAACTTCTAATTTCTCTGGTTAATTCTGTTTAATTGCTGATTTCTGTGGATCTGTAGAAGAAGCCAACTTACCTCTGTTTTCACCCTCTCTGAACTGACAATGTGGCAACTTGCATTGGTGTAACAGATTGTTTGGATTAGAGCTGTGAGTAGTGATGAGTAAAATGACAGATCATCAATCTTAATTGAATGCCTACTATGTGCCTGATGTTTCTTGGCACTGGAAAGACAACAGAGAACAAAGCAGTCCTAGATCCACACTCACTGGAGCCTTGTGTGTGGTGGGAGGCAGATATTAACTAACCATTCAAATAAACATGATCAAAACTGAGTTAAGTGTTATGAAGAAAACCATAAAGTGCTGTGAAAAAATATGATGGGGGTTCAGATAACATTTGCTCCTTCACTGTAATTTCCTTTCTTTATCACCACTACCAAATATATTTGCTAGATATTTGCAGGATTCCTTGATTCCTTCCCTTGTTCCTTACCCTGCATGGTCAAAGAAGAACCAGATTTACTTATAAAGCATCGTCATAGTTCTCCTCTACTTGTACTCTATTTTTTCAGTTGTCCCCATGAACTTAAAACAGTTAACACAAAATAACCCCTGGCAATGCTTTGGAGAACAGTTTTCCAATTTTTTCCCTAAACATTTAATTATCTATTTACGTAGTTTAAAAACCCCAATAAACCAAAGGCTTATGTCACCTTGCCAGCACTGATTCCCACCCTGCAGAGGCAACCACTCAGAACAATTCTGACATTTACTTTCTTAATTCTAAATAACATGCTTTGATAGTCATTGCTGCATTTTTTTGTTCTATCATAATCTTATGATAGAAGATGAACTTTGACTCTTTGGTACTCCTGCTCCCCCAATACACTTGCACTCTCCCACCTTCCCAATAGTTACATTTTAACCCTTTGTTGCTTAATCAGCATTCAGTGTTTACATGATTACAATTATGCAGTTATTCACAGATGAGTCCTTAGTGTATTATGATTAGATTTCCTTTCTTACTCAACTATTTTTTGTTTTCCCTAGAATTGATGACTTTTAAATTATTTTTCCCACTTGCTGAGCTTTCTATATATCTACAACTAGTTGATTCCTAAATGCTCAGCCAGCAGTATAAAACTTCTCTTAGTTGAGATGTATCTGAAAATTATCAGGTTCATTTCTCCTCTCAATTCTTGCTCTTCTATGGACTGCTGAACAGCTGCCAACTTGGAATCTCCCTTTACTATCATCCTCTTTCTCTGCCTCTTGTATTGATCCTCTTATTTTTGGATCCTGTAACTTTTACTTTTCTTTTTTGTTTTATTCTTACTTTAGTGGTCTACATCCTCGAACAGCTTTACAAGAAACAGAGCCTAATAAGTAAAAATTTTGAAATTTTATCTGTCTGAAAATATCCTTATTCTTTCTTCAAATTTGGCTGGGTATGGAATATGTTTTAAAAATTATGTATCCTTTAGAATTTGAAAGCATTGCTCCACCATATTTCACCTTTCAGTGATGCTGTTGAGAAGTCCAATTACATTTCCACCATATTTTCCCCCAGTTATTTTTATTTATTGAAAAAGAAATAAAATTTTATTTTTAAGTATGAATGCAATAACATCATTTATCTTTCAGAGGATTTCATTTATAGTTTTAATGAGTCCTTCTGTTTCCTGCATTGTTTTCATTCAATTTGGGCTTTAAGTTATTTTTAAAATTACACAAAATTATTTGTTTGTACTGGTTTTAATCTTTTGCATTAGCAGCCCTCCTCAATGTCTGATGATTTATGGCCATCTATTTATACTTAAGAATACAGCACTGAAATATGAATAGAAGAGTGAGATTATGTTTGCCAACTGGTGGACTTCCCTGTGAAGGAAAGTATAGGTTAGCTAGCTAGGTTTTTCACTGGGGATTCCCACTGTCAGTATTTGTGGCTCTGTTCTCTTGACCATATCAGTTTTACCACATAGAAACCCTTTAATCTCCTGCTTGGGGAGAGGTGGTAATAAAGGTCGTTAGTAGTGTAACTGGAGCTGAGTGGCTGGAGGGTCTATTATTAGGTAAGCCAACTTTGATTAATCCTCTCTTTTGGGGAAAATATCCACTCCCTCAGATGTACCTGGTGTCCCCAAATCTAGAGTGCTTCTTTGACTTCTCCAGAAGATATGCTTTTAATTTACCCTTGGGGAAGAGGAGGGTACTAGCCTGGCTGTGTAGAGTAGTGAAGGGGAACTGGAAGTCTGTTTCTTATATAAATCATCAACCAATCTTCTTCAGTACTACATGCACTCCTACTTTTTTAAAAGTATATTTTATTGATTATGCTATTACAGTTGTTCCATTTTTTCTCACCTTTATTCCCCTCTCCACCCTGCACCCTGCCTCCCACCAGCATTCTCCCCACCTTAGCTCATGTGCATGGGTCGTACATATAAGTTCTTTTGCTTCTCCGTTTTCTGTACCTCTCCCTGTCTATTTTGTACCTATCATTTATGCTTCTTATTCCCTGTATCTTTTCCCCTATTCTGCCCCCAGCCCCCTCTCTTTTATAACCCTCCATGTGATCTCCATTTCTGTGATATTGTTCCTGCTCTAGTTGTTTGCTTGTTTTTTTTAGATTCAGTTGTTGATAGTTGTTTGTTGTTACTTTACAGTTCATAGTTTTGATCTTCTTTTTCTTAGATCAGTCCCTTTAACATTTCATATAATAAGGGCTTGGAGATGATGTACTCCTTGAACTTGACCTTATCTGGGAAGCACTTTATCAGCCCTTCCATTCTAAATGATAGATTTGCAGGGTAGAGTAATTTTGGATGGGGGTCCTTGCCTTTCATGACCTCAAATACTTCTTTCCAGCCCCTTGTTGCCGACAAGGTTTCTTCTGAGAAATCAGATGATAGTCTAATGAGAACTCCTTTGCAGGTAACTGTCTTCTTTTTTTCTTGCTGCTTTTAAGATTCTCTCCTTATCTTTAATCTTGGGTAATGTGATTATGATGCGCCTTGGTATGTGCTTCCTTGCTTCCAACTTCTTGGGGACTCTGAGCTTCCTGGACTTCCTGGAAGTCTATTTCCTTTGCCAGGTTAGGGAAGTTCTCCTTCATTATATTTTCAAATAGGTTTTCAATTTCTTGCTCTTCCTCTTCTCCTTCTAGTACCCCTATGATTCGGATGTTGGAACGTTTATAGTTGACCCAGAGTTTCCTCATCCTTTTCTCACTTTTTGAATTCTTGTTTCTTCATTTTGTTCTGGATGAATGTTTATTCCTTCCTTTTGCTCCAAATGGGTGATTTGAGCTCTGGTTTCCTTCCCTTCACTGTTGGTTCCCTGTATATTTTTCTTTATTTCACTTTCCATAGCCTCTGCCTTTTTCTCTATTTTGTGACCATACTCAACCATCTCTGTGAACATCCTGATTACTAGTGTTTTGAAGTCTGCATCTGATAGGTTGGCTATCTCTTTGTCACTTAGTTGTTTTTCTGGAGTTTTGATCTATTCTTTCATTTGGGCCATAGCTCTTTGTCTTGGCACATCTGTTACATTGTAAGGGGTGGAGTCTTAGGTATTTACCTGGGCAGGACAGTTCGCGTCACTGCATTGTGGCACTGTATGTGTGGGAAATGTCAGAAAGGGAACAACGTCACTTTCTTGGCTCTCCGCTGGCTTTTAGTGACTTTCTCTGCTGTCTAGAAGCAAATTGGGCCCTTCTGGTGCTGATTCCCAGGTGGATGGGCTTGTGTACATTTTAGGACCCTACGGGTCTCTCCAATGAACTCTGCTATGAGGCTGGAAGTTTCTCCCACTACTGCAATCCCCACAAGTTTTTATAGCTAGAGGTTTTGAGGTTTTCTTTTCCCATGCTGGAACTCTGGGTTGCACAGTCTGTCTTTCTCTCCAGTTGTTCCTCCCAGTTTATCTGCATGCAAATGTGAGACCACCAGCCACCATTTTGTCCACATAGTCCTCCAACTGCCACCTTGCCAAGCATCCTCTTCAACCTTGCTGCCCATCTCTACCCCTCCTACCAGTCTGTATGAATATTTCTTTTTTAACTCCTTGGTTGTTGGGCTTCCATACAGTTTGATTTTCTGGCAGTTCTTGTTGTTTTTTGTTTTTAAATTTGTTGTTGTTCTTATTTTGGTTGTGTGAGGCAGCAAAGTGTATCTACTTATGTGTCCATCTTGGCAAGGTGCACCCCTACTTGTGGTGGGACCCTCCAGTGTCTGAGGTCTTACAGTGTAAGACTTGTTAGCTTTCTGAACCTCCCTCATGATTTGCTTGGGTTTCAGCTCCCTCAGATCTGCTAAATTAGTTGTCACCTATTTTACTTTTCAGCTCTGAAACTTTGCTGGCACCTCCTTTTCTATTCTCTTTTTCCTAGTGTATTTGTGACTTAAGAAATTCCTTTGCTGGCCTGGCTTGTGTGTCTCAGTTGGTTGGAGTGTTGTCTCATAATTTAAAGTTTGCAGGTGTGTGCAAATTCCTGTCCAGGTGTGTACAATCCCAAGTCTGGGCACATATGGAAGGCAACCAACTGATGCTTCTCTCTTGCACCAATATTTCTCTCTCTCCCTTCCTTTCTCTCTAAAAGCAATAAAAAATGTCCTCAGGTTAGGATAGAAAATTTTTGAAATCCCTTTGCTGATATTGGTGAGGGTTTTAGAAGGAGTGACAGTTAACCTTTGTGTTCAAGTCACCATATTTAATCAAGAGTTTGTGCTTCTTCTTCATCCTCCATCCCTGGTCTTCTTCAGTCCTTATACCAGCTCTTTGTAAATATATATATATAGGTTCTTGTACATAATCAGTGTTGCTACCTCTTGGCAGACCACTCCGTGCTCCAAACACTCCTTCTACCTGGTCATCAGAGTAGCTTTGTGACAGGAAAATCTAAAATCATGACCTCTCTTGCTCCTCTGTTCTATTTATTTATTTATTTATTTATTTATTTATTTACTTATTTTTTTAGACAGAGGAGAAGGGAGGGAGGAAGAGATGGAAAGAGACATCAACATACACCCTCTACTGGGGACCTGGTCCACAACCCAGGCATGTGCCCTGACTAAGAATCAAACCAGTGACCCTTTGGTTCACAGACCTACTCTCAATCCACTGAGCCACACAAGCCAGGGTACTCCTCTGTTCTTTGCACATACTGAACTACTTGCTTTTTCTCCAGTGTCTCTCAAGATTTTGTCTTTGCACATGCTGTTGCCTTCTGGAGCCATCCTTTGCTTCTACATCTGTTACAAGTACTTCCTCATCCTTCATGTCTCATTAAGCACCATGTCCTCCATGCAGTCATCTTAGCTTTCCCAAGCAGAAGAATGAGCAGTTCCTCCATGCTCTCTGCTGCTTCCTGAGGGCTCCTTTCATGTGGGGTTGAATTTATCATTTAAGGGCTTCCTCTCCTAACTGCACAGTAAACTCCCAATGATGGGCTTATTGACTACATTGTTTATTTCCTAATTCTCAGCACTTTATCTGGCATAAAGCAGAAAACCAAAAATTACCCATTAAGAGCATTTTTTAGAGTAAGCTTGATTTTCCCCAAACAGAACAAACACTTTAATCTTCAGAATTAGAGACCTATATTAGAGAACATAGTGAATTAGGGGAAAGTCTACATTGACTAGTTCTAAAACCCAAATATGCATTGTACTTGTTTTCAACTACATAGAGTAAAATCTGGTGAACTTTTCTTTTGAAAGGCTGTATGAGGATGATTTGCAATTAATATATTGATCACTGGCCCCAGTAATATTCTCTGTTTGCATGTTGGCTTTCAGAGCTAGAAAGTAAATTATTTTCCTAAACTAGGGAAATATTTTCCTTATGATTTTGATGTCACTATTAATTTTCAGAAAAGACTTTTTACTTACAAGCTGTATAAAAAAACATGAAGAATAAGATGGCAAAATGAGTATTTATTCCCTTGGTGGGAATAAACACTGCTTCATCTATGATAGTGTGAGGTATACAAGCACTACAATTTGGCAAGCCCAGGTGCAATCCCTCACATTTTACTTCTCTTGTAGTATAAAGTATAAATTGCTATATGTATTTGGTGCAATTATTATTGTTGTTGTTTCAAAGACTATTCATTGTATTCTTGTAAAATCCATGTAAAAAGTAGGAGAGGTGTGTTATCTAGGTTCTACAAATAAGAAGAAGGAGACTCTAAAAGGCAGGGAGGCCTTGCCAAGTTGCTGCACAGTTAGTTGCTCAGCTCTTACCCAGCTTGGGTGGTGGCCCTGCTCTGGTGGACCCCCCTCTGGCCCAGCCCGCAGTATGAGCTCAAGCAAGGAGGTGCCTTAACACTTACCATGACTGTGTACTCGGTCTGGGCTCGGATAGCATCCTTCAGAAGCAGCAACTTCTCCGAATCCTGAAAACAGACCGGACAGGTCTCAGATGGCAGACACTAAGCATATGGATTTTTAAGAGGCTGCTCAGTGACAAACAGGTCAAAGGAGCTAACTGTCACAGAGTCAAGACCAGGGCCTCCTTGCAACTTCTCAGATGGAGTAAGACTTACTGTGAGATCAGCCTTGTGGTCAGTGATGGCTTTCACAAAGCTCAGTGCCTCTGGAGTGGCTGATCGAATGTTGTCCACCCGTCCCTCCTGGAACCGGCGAATGGATGCACTCTCATAGGTGGGTGTAAGTCTGAGATGGAGCCTGCATCAATGAGGGATGAATAGTAAATAGTGATGCATTCTGGGGTATCTTGAAATGCTGAGAGAATGATAGTCCAGCTGGGTTTATTTTTATAGTCCTGACTTTACTTGGCATGGTATGTCATTTTAACCTTAATAGAATTTTAGAGGCAGTTTCCCAAAGATGAATGTCAGTGAGTCTAATATGAAGAGCTATGTATCTTTCCATACACTGGTGATACTGCAAAGATATAAAATAAAGAAGTGACTGGTTGCTTTAAAAAGAATCCCAATCTGGTGGGAAACCTAGCATTTTCTACAAGACCTGATGAATGTTTGATTAATGGCACAGAATAGGATAATTGTGCAATTAATCATTTACACCCTTGAGAGAATCCTGTTTTATTTAGAACAAGTAAAGCATGAACTATAGATGGAGGAAGGGAAGGGCCTCAGTGGTCACTGGAGTAAACTGTTGCAATGTATAGGGGTGGCTGGGCTTCCTACAGACCCATGGGCACTATGGCTATGCCTCTCCTCCTTAAGCCTATGATGGGAACAGTAACAGCCACTGCCCCTGCCACTGTCTCCTCCTTAAGCACGTGAATCAAATGAGTACCCCTAGGCTTGTGTACCTGGCTGGTGCACACCTTTGTTTACTGGTCAGTAAAGTCCTTGATGTTGGGGTTAAAAGAAAGGAAAGACACAGAAGTCAGAGAATAGTAGTGACAATCCAAAATTACACAGTAAGTCATGGCCTCCTCAGGACATGTCTGTGCCACACTGGGTTAGCTCCAGGAGGGTGGAGGTCAAGTCTGATTCAGCCTGGTTCTGTATTGCTTGGTGACCAAGTGAATAAACTTCTATTACACTTATATCTCATTTTCCCAGGGCATGGGCAGGGAGCTCATTTTCCATATCTCTGTGGCCCCTGGAGGCAAATGCTCTGCCAAGCACGAAAATAGTTGCCATCACTGGCTGGCAACTGATCAACCCCAACTGAGGCAGCTTCCAGTGTTTTGCTGAATCTAGATGTAGATTTTTAAAAATTTATTAAAGCTTAGACTGTGAAGAATGTTCTCCATGGGAAGCAAATCGTGTTTTTGCTTTTCAATGAAGTCCGGGATTGTCTGGCTACAACCATCTCTGGCCATCTCTGGTGACAGCAAAGATCATGTGAGGAGTGGGTGCTCTGTGTAGGTTACTTTTGGTTTTGGATCAGAAGCTCTGAAGTGCTCATTGAGTAGAGTCCCCAGTCATAGCTCCAGCAGGGACCTGACCTCACGGCCCATTTTAGCCCATTGATATCTGAGTATCAGAATGACAATGACTGCAGTTCCAGACACCAGGTCCTGCCACGGTTGTATGCTGGCAAGGTCTCTGTGTCCCAGTGATGCAGGGTGACATCAGACTTTACCAATGACTTGTAAGAAGATAGATGCTCAGAGTGGCTGCTCCCTTTGCTGTGAGTTACAGCCCCACATGGGACACTAGGATTAGGATACCGTGTCCACAGGGGTGCTGCCTGCTTATTAGTGAGACTTCCTTGCTCCAGCTTTAGACAAGATCACTTCTTGTTTCCCCCAGTTTTGCAAACCGAAAGCAGATCTGGTGAGACAACTGCCATTTGCCAGCCATGCCAGTTTATGACCAGTTGCTTCTGAAATTCTGGACCCAACTGAAGCCAGTCCTATCTTGAGGAAGATCTGCTTTGTATGTTAGTTTTAGGGTTCTATAAAAGTTGAGTCAGGTGCCCTACTCTACCTTCAACCATTACTTCCTACAACTATAGAGGTTTTTCTAAATCACAGACCTGACTATACCAACCCTAGCTAACACTCTTTTGGTGTCTTCTCATGTTTGACTCAGTACCTGATGCCTGCTCTGTGCCAGGCATGCAAGGTACCCAGAATGTCATGTTTGGGAGAGACAGTCTAGAAAACAAAGTTGACAAATTAATGAACAAGGTAGTTACCATGGAAAACAATTGCCATGAAAGAAAAAGAGAGCACATGCTAGATGTGTATGATAGAGAGCTGGGTGTCAAGGTTCTCTGAGGGCTGACACCTGAATAGTGGGAAGGAGCAGGCAGGTGAAAAGTGGTGGTGACAGGTGAATAGGCAGAGGCACAGTCAGAGCAACAGTCTAAAGGTGGCAAAGAGATTTGGGGAGGACCCCAGATGAGGCCAGGGAGCCTTTCTAAGTCTGGACTTTGTTCTAAACATGGTGGGAAGCCATTGGAAAGGTTCAAGGAAGTAAATGATAGAATCTGATTTTCATATTTCCAAGTTTATGTTTTATGAAGATAGGTTATAGTGAGTAAGATTGGGGGCAGAGATCCCTGGGAAGCATGTTGCAGTTGACTGAGCATGAGATGGCAGGGGCTTGGGAGAGGCCAATGGTGATAGAGGTAGAAAAGGAAATGAAGGATCACTGGCTGGTGTAGCTCAGTGGATTGAGCTTGAGCCTGCGAACCAGAGTGTCACAGTTCGATTCCCAGTCAGGGGTCATGCTTGGGTTACAGTCCAATTCCCAGCAAGGGACGCATGAAAGGCAACCATACATTGATATTTCTCTCCTTCTCTCCTTCTTTTCCCCTCTAAAAATAAATAAATAAATAAATTGTAAATCTTCTTAAAAAAAGAAATTGAAGGGTAGAGACAGGGAAAATAACTGACATGGTGGGAGGTGAAAGATAGGGACAAATGAAGGGGGAATCTAAAATCTTTGATTTGATCCACTGAAGGATGCTAGTCCTATTTCATTATTGAGGCCAGACTAATGGCCTCAATCACAACTCCAGAGGCCCAGGTGGATTGGATGGGATCTGGAGGAGGAACATCTTCTCAATCTTATGTCCCCATCACCTCCCTGGCCTTGGTTAGCTTTGCTCCTGCTCTTTGTGCTCTGCAGCCCTAGGGCATCACTCAGGCAAGTGACTGACTATGACATCCTTCCTTTTCTCTTCTGAGAAGGTTTCATATTTTGCAACCCAGTTAGGTGGCACCTCCTACCAAGCATTCTGCCCTGGTTATTCTCCCATCCTCTAATCCCATAGAAAGTCTTTCTCCCTCCAGGGTACTTCTAGACTTTAGAGTTTAGAGCAGCTTGTCAGTTAGCCCTTCTGGGCAGGTTTTGCTCACCTGTAGAAGGCCAGTTGGAGGGCCACCTGAATAAAGGCATCAGGGCTGCATTTCTGCTTCTTAATGAATGTCTTCCCATAGTTGTCAAACTTGTAAACAATAAAGTCGAGATTCTTTACTATTCTGTGGGGGGGGGGAGATGCTTTTATTTCATGCAAAATAGAATGCACAGAACACAGAATCTAGCACATTTCTTGAGCCTTGTCTATGTCCTACCATCCCAGAAGTTCAGGATAGTTCCTGCCCTCCAGGAATGGATCAGTATGTCAGAGACAGTCCTTGACATATGGAAGTGGCAGAGGGTGTACTGGACCAAGTTACTCTGAGTTGAAGATGAGGTGTGGCTGAGCAGGCTGGTGGCCCAGCTCTGAGGCTGGAGGAAGGTGGGCTTGGCTGCAGGGAGGAACATGGGGGAAAAACAGACATTTACATGGGCAGGGAAAACACTGCTAACAAACACAATCATAAAATCCCACTGCTCACAGAAGTGAACCTGAGAGAGGTCACTCATTTGACCTGTTTGGGAAGGTGTGTCAAGCATCTTTGTGGGTTTTTTGGGGGTGGGGTGGGGAGGGCATCCTGGCCATCCTGCCAGATCCACAAACCCTCTGTGCCCAGGGAAAAGCCAATTTCTTGGATAGCTGAAAGTAGTGTCTCCTCAGTGAGACTCATCCCTGTGCTTTGGAAAGAAAGGTGTGGGGCCTGGCTACTTAGCACCACAGTGAAGGCTGCTTGTCAGTAATTAAAAGTCCATTTTACTCAGACACTGCTATTGTGGCTGCCATGACATGCTCAGGTCTTTGCTGCCCAGGAGCCATTGTAAGAATAGTAGGAAGATTCCCTGAGTCTACACTGAGACCATTGAGCACCCCAATGATGACTAGTCTCCTCCTTCAAAATCAGCTTGGGATCTGGGATGACTGCCCCCTGGAACAATGTCCAGCAAGGTTCACATCATCCATCCACCAACCATATGTAAAATCAGAGTCTTGGGGGAGCAACCTGGGCCCCCACTCACACACTCACTCCCTTAGGACTTGACACTCCCTGCCTGCCCCTCCTTGAATTATTTCTCCTGCCTCACAGGACTTCAGCTCTTGTGGGGCCATGCCAGGTTCTGGGGACTCAGCAGAATTCAGAGAACCAGTTCCAATGGGAACTCAACCCTCATTCTGGCCTGTTGACTCACTGCCTTCACACAGGCTGAGCACAGAGTCACCACAGCCCCCTGGAAACCTTTTGCTCAAGCTCTGCACACTCAGACCCCACCCTTTCCTCCTACTTCCCCATCCTCCAGAAAGAGGAGCTGGGGGCCTTGGGATCAAGTGGAACCTGCTCAAACCCCTAAAAGTGTGCAGATTCCTCCTTCCCAGGGCTCAGCAATGAATTCACCCTCCTAGTGGCCTGCTTATCCCCAAACAGCTTCATATGGTTGAGATATGGACACCCTCTTATCAATGATCACCTAAGGCCACTTTTCCACAAAAGCCAGTCTCCACAGCAGCTTGCAGGGGACTTGTCCTCCCTGCCCTTGGCCTCAAGCCCAGCCACACTATATCCAGCTCACCGACCCTATTCCCACAGTCTCCTCCCTGGCTCTCTGGAACCTTCTGTACAAAATCTGCCAGGGCTCCTCACAGCTTCCAGGCCCTATGACATAAGGAGCATAAAGCTCTTCACAGTGTGGCCCCAGCTTCCCTTTAGTGTCTCCAGCTTTGACCACTCTCTCAGTTGCTGGTCTCCAAAGTAGTCTGGATCTTTTATGAACCCCTCTCCCCCAGCTGTCTGCAACACAAATTCCTCTCCCTCTTTCGAGGCCCATCTTTGCAAAGCCCTCCCTCAATGTCCTGGCAGAATTCAGCTCTTGTGTCCTCTGTGGGTTCATGTCTGTATGCCTTTGTCTGACTTTGACACTTAATGTATCACACATTTTTGCTCTGGGGATCCACTTCCTCCACTAAAGTCTGGAGAGCAGGTCTCATGCACATTCATTTGAATGTGCCTCATGGCACATTCATTTCTTTGTTTTTAGTGCCTTACCACAGACCTGGCACAAACCTGCCACAGAGCTCTGCACACATTGGATGAATGAATGAATGAATGCATTCATGCTCACTTCCTGAATGAGAGAATGAACAACCGAGTTCCAGACTCAGTTGTCAGCCTGTGGCTGACAGCCTGTGGCTCCCCTTGCCACTGCCAATTCTGTGCTCCTTAAGAGGGGCCCATACTCATCCCTGCACCTCCCCGCCTGGGTTCTGTTAAGGGTCCTTGCCACTCTGTTAGGGCCTTAACTGCCCTTGGGAATAAAACCTTCCTTGTCAAGATGCAGTGAAAATTCAAGCAAATTGAAATAGCTTGGATTCAAATGACCTATTCAAACCAGTTGTTTATTATTCCCCCAAACAGGATGATTTCCCCTTCTTGACTGTGCTCAGTCAGGTGAAACCCTTGAAAAAAAATAGCTCCATGTTTACATTTTATGGAAATGATGGATCCTTCAGCAAGGTTATGTCCCCTAGAGTTATAACTCCCCTTTAGTTTGACTACATTTCCATGAAGTCATGGGGACTGGAGGAACTGGGGTCTCTGGAACCTTTCAGAGAATCTCAGCAGCCAGGGTGGGAAGAAGGACACAGGTTACCCCCAGGGCATCACCCCAAAGGAGAGTTGTGCTTTTCCTCACCGTTGAAGTCTTTCTGCTGAAGAAGCTAAGAAACCTTGAATTACTGGGGAGCATTTCCACCTCAGCCTCCTAGGGGCTGGCAGCTCAGTGACGGAGTCAGCTCGAACCAGCTTCTTGCTATTCTTCATCCTACAGGCACAGAGAGATGACCTCCTCAGCCCTGTGAGCTGAGGCCTGCAGGCAGCATGTTTCTTTGCCCTCTGCAGTCATATCAGTTGTTGGGGGTTCATTGGTATGAGCTGCCCCCAGAGCACTGCACCAATGAACAGAGTGAAGCTCAGAGAGCCCACCCAGATTAGCAAGTGGCAAAGTGAGGATTCCATCCAGTTCTACAAGGCTGCAAAGCCTTTTTTTTTGCATTTTCCTGTTCTACTACATTGCACCATGACAATTATAAAACATTTGGAAATAAATTGAAGCAAATTATGTCATTTTGTTTGCGAGTGTTGGCTTGGGTTTTCAGAGATCCTAACCCATGGAAGAGGTTTAGAACTTAGAATCATGGAGAAGATTCTAAAAAAAGAGAATGAAGGAAGTAGTAAATGGAGGAAGGAACCCAGTGTGTTAAAAGTCGGAGAAGCCCTTAGTCAACCAGCTCAGAAGCTAGGGAGAGAGACCCTAGGGAGAAGCTAGGGAGAAGATGGAGAGAGCTGCGCGCTCAGAAACCTTCTGTCTGTGCTGGGTCATCAGTCAGACCATCCTGGACTCAGGACAAACAATAGGGATTGACTGGTGCTCCCCTGGTCAAAGCAGATGCTCCTTCTTAGCTAGAAATTCTTCGCCAAGCTTCTCCTTAACTGCCTGCATGGCCCCTTCTATCCATGGCTGATAAAATGTACAATGTTTCATTCTAGCTAGTTTGCAAACTCATTTTTGACTAAGACACTTTCTAGGCTAATGCAGTCCCCATGTGGCCACTGCAGTTTTTCTTGGCCTAGCTAGGCAGTCCAGTTTTGACACCATGGCTGCTCTGGAGGGGTCCTGTGCTCCAGACTCACATGTGCTTGAGCAGATGTTCCACACACTGTACCAGGACAATGCCATCGAATGGGGAGTGCTCACACACCACACCACAGGTGCCATCCTGGCCCACCACAAACTGCAATAAGGAAGAGAGAGGTGAGCAGACCTATGGTAGAGTTAGCATTTCAAACCTGCCCCTTGGCTCCAGGTCAGGTGCCCCTGGCCTCTCAAGGGGATCCCTCCTTAAGGACACCAAAGCACATTATTTTCTGAAAAGAACATGCATGCAGTTGCCAGGGCCTGAGAATATAGGAGTCTCAAACAGCACCAAACAGTGAAACCCCATTCCTAGAAAAACTCCAGGCAGTGAAGGTGCAGCATGAAGTTCACTGGCTGAAGTATCCCAGGGATTCCTGAAAGGCTGTACTTACTCTCCGCAGGTCATGGGTAAACTCCTTCAGCTTCATTTAGCCCTGTTTCTCCTTTACAGTGAGTGACAGGATCACCCCCCTACTACACTGTGTCATGATGTGCCTGATGGCCCCTGTGGTTTGGGCAACATTGACTTTATTCCCAGCCTCTAGACCAGTGTCCACCCTGCAGTAGGTGCTCAGTAATTTTATTGGATGACTGAATGAAAGATAACAATCCTATTTGAATGGTGAACAGATTCCTAGGGAGAAATAAAACTTCCCTTGATGGGAGTGAGGAAAATTGTGCTGAGGGTGCCCCATCATCTGCTGCCTGGGCTCTTTTGTGTCTGGGATCCAGATTTCAGTTCTGTTGTTGTGGCCAGACAGCTGGGAGAACTTCAACAAGACACTTCATCTCTCTGACTTCAGTCTGCTCTTATCTAACTTGGACCCAATAAGGCTAGTTCACAAGGTTGATATGAGGATTGGAGAGAAGATATATGAAAGGACCATGGGAACTTTAAAGATTACTTATGGTCTTTTTATGACCTTACAAAGGTTGTATTTAGCTGACATGGAAAAGGAACATACTCAGTGCTGAAAAGTACTGGGAGAAAATAAGAATGAGGTTTGATTCTTCAAGCATAATTCAAATAAAGTAGGGCTGCCTTGTAGCTTGTCCAGTGCAGCAGCGCACTCAGGAGGTATTTGCCTAACATTCATAATCAACAAGCAAACAAGCAAGCTATTGGAGTCTGTACAGCACACACTGAAGCTTTCACCAGGTCTCCCCCAATCTCTCACATAGTTGTCCTCTGCCCAAATCTTTGCTCCCATTCTTCAAACTTCCCATACAGTTTCTTTCAAAACACAGCTCTGCAGGCTCTTTTCTCTCTCAGTCCTTTCAATTCCTGTTCATGAAGCCAGTTGGGCTTCTCCAACTCACCTGATAATGTGTCCTACCTTCCAAAAGAACCCAGAGGTGGGTACAGCTACCCACATGAGGCACAGAGGGGAGGACTGTGCCCAATCACATGTTAGTCCTTTTCTGTCCCTGTCACTAAAAGAAAAAGAGGCAAACAGTGCCTTTTAAAAATTGCTACTAAGCCTTGCTATGTTTCAGTTCCTGTACATCCATTATATCATTTCCCTCCCACAGCTGCTCCATGAAAGGTTACAAGCCATTAGCACTGCTGGTGAAGGCTGAAACATCCAGCACAGCAGCAACAGGACTCATCAGAAAGAACAGAATCAATATGCACACCAATAAAACAGAAAAATAAGCCTAGAAATGCTCATTACATGTGAGCAACGATAACCAAAAGCATAGATACCATTGGCCACTATTTAATAAGGTTGTTGTGAAAGTGTGGTGGCTTTAAAAATAAACAAGATTAGATTCAGGATTGGCATGCTGGGGAAAAAAGAATGTAAGAACAAAAATGAATGGCCCAACCTCAACCTTATCCCCATATGCATGAGTGTTTTCCTCCAGGCCAAAGTGACTGTCTTGTTTCTGAGTTAATGTCATATAAATGAAAAAACAAAACAAAACAAAAAAACCCAAACCCAAATTGCTTTATTTCATTTTATGACTTTTTTCTGTGTAGACACTGGGATTCCACACTTCTCAAGGAAGGAGGAAGGTGTCAAAATGGCCAGGCCAGGGTGACAGAAATTTAGAAAAGCTGACATTCCTAGGAATCAGATGTGATTATTGCTGAACGTGTTGAAGATTTGTTCAGTGGGAGGAGCCCCTGGCATGCCCCCATCTTACAGTGTTTGATGGAAGATGGGGAGTGAGCCCAAGATCTGACCCAGAGGGCCCTCAACCTTTCCTCAGGTTGTAGGAAAATTAGGGAGTTTGAGTGAGGTTTGGCCACTTGCTCCTTATCCAAGGCCTTATCTCCTGGCCAGTCCATCAGATGACACCAATTATACATCTCCAACCCCTTTAACTTTCTTGGCCCCACATGCAGCATCCTGGGCAGCAGAGGCCAGTAATTGAGTCTGCCAGCTGTGAGCAGAGTTGGCTTGGGCCACTGGCCATACTGCAGGGGAGGCTTACCTGCAGGGATTTGTCATACCAACGATTTGCCCCATTCTTGCTGCAGCCTCCACCATGAAGGAGCTGGAGTGCCCTGTTGGTGTCGTTGAGCTCCAAGCCCCCTGGGGCATCCAGACACACCACACAGATGCAGCGCTCGATCATGTCCAAAGAGTCCCGATTGGTGGAGTCTGCAGGGTGGGCAAGCAAGGCCTTACTGCCTGTCCTACCTGGGGCCTGGGGTTCCCTCTGCAAAGCCTCACATACCACAGGCAGACATACATGGACTCCCAGATCTGTATCCAGTCCTGACCCTTTCTCTATCCCCAGTCCATGGTGTAGAAAGTCAGCCAGACTGTCTTGGGCTTCTGTACTAACTTCAGGGCCCAGCTCAGCCTCAGAGTCCCTCCAGCTGTGACCAGTCCTGAGTTCTGTCTCCAGCTGTGTGGTCACTTGGCCTGCCTGCTAGGATGAGAGGAGCTGGTGTAGGGCCTTCTCCATGAACATTAAACTCTACGCCAAGAAAGGAGTGCCACTTCTCTATTCAACAGTACCAGTAATGTGGCACCAGGAAGCTGCATCTGCAACATAGTCGTGTTTATTTGTCCTATGATTTTCAAACATTAGTTCCAGAATTTTAAAGTTAGTCACTTTTACATGAAAATCTTTAGTAAGAAAGTAAATCTTTAGTAAGAAAGGGTGTTGCTCTCCTTGTGTCCTGCCACCCCAGCTGTTACGTTGATGCGGGGGCAGATGGAAGGGCCAGGCTACCCTAAATCTATAACCACATGAACCACTTGGGGCCGTTTCAGGCCCATGGAACTCATCAGGACAAATAGTTTAAAAGCCACTGAGTTGTGCAGGAGATAAGTTGTCAAGGGAGCTTAAATCCTCTACAGGGACATTAGACAAGGTGTTACTCCTGGAATAGAGCAAGGCTAGCAAATGGGTTTCTGGTAGCTTCCTCAACCAAGCACAGAAGGGTTTACAAAGCCTGGCCAGTGGGATCATGGCTGGTGCTGCTTGCTACATGTTCCTTCTCTAAATCAGGAGTCTTTACAGTGGTGATTGTGTTCCTCTTCCACCATCCCATATGGGGTGTGGCATCAGGACCTGATGGGTAGGCTGCACATCGCCCAGAGATCCAGACTTCTGGGCTGGATGATGTAACAGGATGAGAGTTACCATCCCAAGTCTCAGAATATTATATGCATGGGAAGGTGGGGCATGTGGTGTTTGGTGGCAGAGGGTATCATGTGTCAGAGATTGCTAGTTGCATATCATAATATTCATTCTCTTTAGCCACAAAACACTTGGCTTTTAGCTTGGCACAGGGACAACCAGAAATAAGGATACATTGCCCAGCCTCCCTTACAACTGTGAGTAACCATGTGTCTAAATTCTACCAACAAGATCTAGAAGCACTATATGACAACTTCCAAGAAACTTCCTTAAAGACAGCTAGCATGTGGTCTTTGCTCTGTTTTCACCCTTTGCCTATCCTGCTACCTGAAATACGGGTGTAATAACTGAAGCTCTAGCCTCCATTTGGGACCATGAGGATGAGGGCCACACCCTTGTAGTGAGATGGAAGAACACTAGCCACCCTGTATCAACTCTGGTTCACTTCCAATATACATGAAAGAGACAAAAACCTGTGTTTTTCAAAAAGCATTATTTCAGGTTTTCTGTCAGATGTGGCCATAACCAATTCTAACTTATACTGTCTATTGATGTTGGATTCACATTCATAGACTGCAGGAATTAGCTGGAGCTTAGAGGCTATACCTTGGTTTGCCACAGTCCTCTCTCATTTATTCAGCACCTTGATTTCTTTGGGTATTTAAATTCAAGGTCCTTGTCCAGAAGGCTATCCTCTTTGTTGAATATGGGAGGCAGAAGATCCCTCCAAGATGACAGTCAAATCCCTTCTTTCTCCCTCTTGTGTCAGAATCAAGGCAGGTACTTTTGTGGCACTCATCTTGGGTGCCGGCCCTTCTATTTCCTGTTGCCAGCTCTGTGCCCCTTTATTCTGAGCCCAGGTACACATACAGCCACATGTACCTCTCAGCTCCTGCCTCTTCCCTTCCTTACTGGAATCACAGTAACTGCTTAGTCAGGACTCTCCTTTTCAGAGCCCCTGGCTCTGGAGGCTTCTCTGCTTCTAGAGCCTCAAGCTGAGAATTAAGCCCATTAACTTTCACAGTCATCTGGAATCTGTCTTCCTGAAGTCCAGGGCTTGTGTGGGAGGAGGTGCAGCTTTCACTTGCTTCCACTCTCAGGCTCGATGTCCCCTAGCAGCCTTTATTCACCAGCTGGGTCTAGCCTGTGGGGTGGGGCTACCCATAGCAGCACCTTCTTCAGGCAGTGGGAGGCTGAGTCCACACATGGCCTATGATAACAGTGGGTAACCACACCAGGAGTGTGCCTGTCCTTTCTTCTGTCCAGCAGGGGCCTGAAGTGGTCAGAGGTGAGTATTGTCTGTTCCTCCCTACTCTTGGCCTTGACCTAGCCTCTCTGGGCTGCTACCCCACTCAAGCATGTGGCAAGTTCCCCTTGCTGGTGTTGTCAGCCTTGAGTTAAACAATCCCTAAGACTCTCTCCTGGGTCTTCTCAACACTTGCTGGGCACACAGATGCTAAGGCTACCTGTGCTGTTCCCTATTCTGCCCAGATGATTCCTCCAGGTTCATGAGAAGTTTCCACATATCTTCATGTGAAAGGATTTTCCAGTTCCCACCCATCCCCTTCCGCCCACTTTTTGAAAATACTGGAGGAAGGAGCCATTGCTCACAGCAAGTCTTCTACTTTGGAAAAGAAGGTGTCCAGCAAGCTAACCCATTCTCTGCTATCCAAGCTCCCTTCCTGTCTGGAATAATGAGGGTTCAGGAAGCACTGTTCTTTCAGGATGCCTCTTAATCCCCATAGAGCTAGGATGACTCATCACCTCGCACTTGGCCTCTTGGGCTCTCCTGCTTCAATCTGCTGAAGCTCCAAAGCTCTGAGCCCTGCCCTGAGGAGCTAAAGATAAATGAGATGCCATAGTGGTCCTGCCTTCCACTCCTTAAGTGTGATGCAATTACCATGTTATCCCTTCAACCTAGAACAGCTCCTCATGTTCACCAGGTAGAATCCAAACTTGTAAATATAGCTCTTGGGCTCCAGGGATAGCCTTTGCTGCCCCTCATGGTTCAACTCCCCTGACTCTTGAGAATGACTTCACACAAGCCTCATGCCACCCCCTGGACATCTGTGCGCGTGCATTCCTCACCATTTCAGGCTGTCCCCAGGATGGGGGCTGTTCTCCTACTCTACCTATCAAATACCTTTTTATAGACTCTCCCCAAGCTCCCTAAACCTCTAACAGTGCTTGTCCTTTGCCCAAGATTAGTGGGAAAAATCCAGAAAGAGTTCCTGCCCCACCCCCAGGACTCCTCACACTTGGAGCTGCCTGCTTAGTGCAGATGAGGAACCTCTGCTCTGTCTACCTGGTCAGCCTCACATAGCATCTGAGTCAGAGCTGGCCAATTCCCTCTATATCAACAGTCTCCTACCACACAGCCCATGGTATAGCGCATGAACCTGCCACTATCCTCAGACCCCCATGCTTCAAGAAGTTACTGAGGGTCTAGCCCCAGCAGTCCTGTTCTGGTACCTTCTCCCATATCTGTAAGCTTACAGAGGGTGGGGTCTGGGTCCCCAGCTCAAGCAGGCAATTTCCATGTCTGGCAATGAACTTGAGAGTGCGTGGACAGGTAAAGTTGACATCTGTGTGCACAGCTCAGAGGAGCCCAGAGAAGCCCAGATGGCCTGCAAAAAAAAAGGCCTATGGTTCCTGGAGGGTCAGGAAACCACTACTCTGAGGGATCTGGAGCTTCATGGTAGGGGTGAAGGATGAGGAAGAGATGGGAGGCATTTGCAAAGCTCCAAATTCTACCCGTTTCTGCTCCAGTTCCTATTGGCCATGACCATGGTGCCTGGCCTTGTGTACCATGTGCTGTTCTGGGAGTTTCCTTGGGCTCCTAGGCTAGCTAACAACTTCAGATTATAGGGAGGCCTTAGTTAGGCCTGCGTCAGATTCAAATAGGCAGAGAGGAAGAGAGAAGCATGCCAGGAAGGACATAACAGTAAAGAAAAGGCTCTGAGGGCTGGGAGGTAGACATCCAGGATTGTGAGTAAAGGCATACAGGATTTAGGAGACTCTGAAAAAACACAGTACAGCAGTGATGTTAGCTAACCTTTTTGAGCACCTACTATGTGCCAGGAATCAATCTAAGCACTCATACAAAATAAATACTGAGTAGACACTATTATCATCCCTATTAACAGGTGAGGAACTGAAGAGCTACATGTTTTACCTAAAGTCACCAATAAATGGAAGGAGCTGAACTTGATCCAAACCTAATGCCAAAACTAGGAGAAGATCATCAAGGACTGAATGGCAGTATTGAGAATATGGACTTCATCTAGCAACAGCAGGGAACCACTGAAGGATCTACACAGAGACTGATGTGGTAAGAAAGAGTTGCCTAGGTTGCCTAGGAGCTTGGGAAGTGCATGAGACTGTAAATCAGACAAGAGGCCATGAGAAGCTCCATGGATGCACACCATGACCTTGCTGGCCATGTCTGGGTGAGGTCTGAGAACCCACTTATCTGCCTACACCAATGTTTGTTATCTGGTTACACCAAGGTTTGCTCAGAAAAAGCTCTAAGGCCAAGGTGGAGTGGGAAGGCTTCAGCTCTCCCTAACACCCCTAGGAGTCCAGCCAGAAGACTACAGAACTGACCTAGCAGAGCCTCTGGAAAGGAAAGTAGAGGCTTGACACAAACCTTCCCAGGAGCTGGTCAACTTGAGGCTGGCAGCAAGAAAGGAGAGCTTCCCAGGCATCACCACCGCATCCTCCTCCAAACAGGAGAGAGGGACTCCTGGGAAGGCTGAACCATCACTAGCCAGCATGCTGGTTGTGCAGGGCCCTGGAGCTTGGTGCCAACCAACAGGAGCTGGTCCTGTGTCATTAGACAGAGTAAAATGGGAGCAGGACAGTGGGGATGCCAGGTGGCCTTACAAATGAACTTCCTGCATACAAGGAGCTGATCAGTCAAATGCTGACAAGTTTATCATGTCAGGCAGAAAATAAACTACGGCCAAACTCTTCCACCATGACTCTTGCCCAGATGTAATGGAAATGG